TAGTAAAGAATGATATTACGCATCAAAATATGCCCCACTTAATAACACTAAATTAAAACTTTGTTATATTGAGCGTTTTTTTCTGAAAAGTTCTTCTTCGCTTCAAAGTAAAAGAAAAAAATTATTTTTATGTTGTTTGTTGTTTCTTATCCCACTTGGCTGGCCAAGCCCACGAGCCCATATGGACTCATGATTGAAGGGGAAGGAAGCAGCTTCTGTTGTGATGGAGCACCCGTAGGTAGAAGCCTGACTTTTGCTCCGTGGCGCTCTTATAGTCATAGAAGTCCGGGACCTACGGCTTAAAGTGGATTCCGAACCACTACAAACATCCATGGCACCGCCGGGATTCGAACCCGAAACCTGTGGCACCGAGTGCCAGAGCGCTAGACACTCGGCCATTCAGGTACCAAATTTGCCAACGGCACGCAGTGTTCCCAGGTGGTCACCCACCCAAGTACTGACCGCGCCCTATGATGCTTAACTTCGGTGATCATTATTTTTATAAATCTAGGCAATATAGAAGTCACATAAACCATGATCTGATATATAACAAAGAGATTTGCATTGCTATATTTAAAAAAAAATTTTTTTTATCTTGTGCGTAGCTAAAATTATGACAAAAATTCTTATTAGTTATCTTCTAATTAATTAACTATTTTTATTGTACAATTGAGATTTTAAAGATTTTCTATTCAAGGGTATTGTGCTTTCTTGATTGTGTTTAATATTCACAAAAATTATTAAGCAAGTTAAAAATAATAATTGAGATTATAAATAAATTCTAATTCGTAATCTAATAAAAATGAAATAATGAAAAAATCCAATTATTTTTCTTAGGATTTAACATTTTGATACCTTGCAAATAAAAGATAATTGCAAAAATAACTAATAATTTCTTTTTTTTATTATGCAAAAATTCATTTTCTGACTTAATTGAAATAATTCATTTTTTGAATTTCTTCAAAAATTCATTTTATTATCAAATTGTCAAATAATAAAAAAAAGACTGAAACTACAATAGCTAAAATGTTGAAAATTTTCACTTGTTTAGAGTAACAAATAACTTGAAAATAGAACCAGATTAAAAAATATTATTTGTTTTAATATATATGTATATATATATATATGCTATTCTAAGTTTACATCATTAGTTATATTCAAATTTCTTCAGACTAAAATGCCGATCAGAAAAGTGTTATATTTAGCATTATATAGTAGCCGTTTAGACAAAGTGGGTATACATTCAACACAAGGTAACAGCTGCGCAATTGCAATAGGAAACCAGACAGTCAATCTGTTTCTTGACCTTCGACCTTGTTTACGAGCAAGTTCATCGATCTTTGCGGGGCACAGTTTCTCTACTGCATCTGGCTTGTTTATACCAGACAAACAAGGTAAAAATGGTTTATGTTCAAGATTTGAGGTGGTGGTGTATATTTGAGGTGGTGGCGGTATAGGTGGACCCACTATAGGGACACTAAATGCACCTCTCAGTACGTTCAAGGGATGACATTTTACTGTTTGCTATTTGAAAGTTCCTTTGTCTCTTTCTCTGGTAGCTGAAACCTACATTCTCTTAAATAACCATTTGGTTCTATACATGCTTGAGATTCATATTATTCATTTTTTTGGGGGAGTTTTGTTTTAACTCCAATTCCATTTTAAAAATTTTAGCATCATTTTTGTATATTATTATGTTCAAAAAACATCTTTTTAAAACATAATTAATTTAAAAATCTAACCTTACTTTTTAAAATTACCTGCTCTTTACTTTACTATTACATTTCAGTATATGTATAGAATAAATAAAATGAGATATATTTCACACCCTACATTGAATTTTACGCATTTCAAAATAGCGTATATGATTGAGAAAGAGTAGACATGAACATAGTTCATGTTAACAACTTATAATTTGTCATTAAACTTTTTGAAATTTATTTGTTTTGTGTTTACAATCATATATTACTGTGTGTCAGTGACATATTATAAGTTGATGAGACATATATATATATATATATATATATATATATATATAGGAAGATAATCTTTTGAAAAAAAATTATTTTAAAATTTATTCATATAAATGTACACATTGTCTTTTATGTATGTGGTTTTCATGTGTTTGGGTATGTCACGAATTCATCACCAATTGACGATGTAAACAGGACGTTACCCTCCATTATAATTTTCAGGGTAACTTTTTTCGCATTTGAATATCCATGGAAGAACATCCGGGAAAAATCCACTAAACCTCTCGAATACTGATGTGATAAGTTTACACATGTTGTCACAAATATCATCGAGTCTTATTTCTAAAAACAGGAGGCAATATAAACAAAGCAGGTAATATATGCCTCCAGCAGATTCGAACATTGACCTTTCTGTACGTAGCAGAGCAGATGTTACCAGTATAGCAACTTTATCTCATAAACTTTTTAAATACTTAGAAATAGAAAATACAACTAAAGCTTTCCACATGCGTCAAAGGGAATGGTGTTGTTGTTGTTGTTGTTTCTTATCCCACTTGGCTGGCCAAGCCCACGAGCCCATATGGACTCATGATTGAAGGGGAAGGAAGCAGCTTCTGTTGTCATGGAGCACCCGTAGGTAGAAGCCTGACTTTTGCTCCGTGACGCTCTTACAGTCATAGAAGACCGGGACCTACGGCTTAAAGTGGATTCCGAACCACTAAAACATCCATGGCACCGCCGGGGATTCGAACCCGAAACCTGTGGCACCGAGCGCCAGAGCGCTAGACACTCGGCCATTCAGGTGTCTTTCTGCCAACGGCAGAGCAGATGTTACCAGTGGTCACCCACCCAAGTACTCACCGCTTTTAAATACTTAGAAATAGAAAATGATCTAACGAGAACCGGTATGCGTCAAAATGGGAATGGTAATATATAAAAGCGTGAACTTTAAACATCAGTTTCCTTTTTCACGTTGGAGACGAACAGACATAGGCACTCTATAGATTCAACTGATTTTTTTATATTATCACATATTATTTTAGCAATAACTTTATAAGATTATTTTTAAAAGAGAGCATAAAATATTTGAAAAGCTTAAAATCAATTTTAAAACTGTGTGTCAGGGATGAAGAAACAATTTTAGAGAATGGGTACTAAACGTGCTTATCTAAACTTATGGTCTTATAAAAAAGTTTTACCAGTACATTATATTATTTTAAGCTTTATAACGTAATGACATTCTCGTCTGGTAGATTCACCTGCCAAGTACTGAGACCAGGCACAACCATAAGAAGCAAAACTGACTAGTCAAGCACGGGTGGGGCAAGCAAAAAAAAAAAAAAAAAAAAAAAAAAAATGATAATCTCAAGATAAACAACTAAGCTATAGTCAAAATGTTTTAAGAAGGTGTTTTTGTTGTACTTATATTTAATTTTTTATCTGTAATAATAATAAACAAGTAATATAAAAAAAAAAAATTTAAAGACAATTCCTACTTAGTCGACAAAGAAATATTTTATTTTAGTTACTTTTTATTAAATAAATACAATTAATATAAATATGTATATACATATGACAGAATCACAATATTAAGTAGCGATAATAGAAAGCGAATTTCCTTGCAATTTTCCATTTTCCTTTCTATATATGGTGATGAACTGTTATATTTGTGGGCCTGAATGGCCGAGTGGCTAGCGCTCTGGCGCTCGGTACCACAGGTTTCGGGTTCGAGTCCCGGCGGTGCCATGGATATTTGTAGTGGTTCGGAATCCACTTTAAACTATAGGTCCCGGTCTAATCTTCAAGTTACACGCGCTCCCTGGGTCATGCAAAGTGAGTACGTCTGTGCAGCGCTTGCCTTAAGGCATCCAAGACCAAGCTGTCTAAGTGTTTGCCAGTTGCATTAGAACAAAAAAAACTATTATATTTGTTTGTTACTATTTATTCGCTTTCTATTTTTTTTCGTATCTAATTTATGAAGCTTATGGTGGTGTATAATTTCTCATTTTATCCATCTCTTGTAATGCTTCATGGCATTACGTTATAAAGCTTAAAGTAATATAGCATTATGTAATGCTTGCATTACATAATGCTCTTGTAATGCAAGGAACCTTTCCAGTGAGTTTCGAACAGTCCAGTTCTTCAATTAATTAAATTTAATTAATGAATTAATATTTGAAAAAACTGTATTAACATCAAGTGTCATCCACTACAAGTTCAAAAAAAAATGTATTTGAACTTGAGTGGATGAATAAAAAGTATTTTATGAACGATTGAAAATTTAAACAAGATATATAAATATATATATAGGGAGAGTGTGAACTAATAGTAGGAATTGAAAAATATGATAAAAGGAATTGATACAGAATATTAATAAGTCATTAATCTAATAAGTGTTTTAATATTTTCTATTTTTAGTAACTATAAGAACAATTGTTCTGGCATTCATGTTTAAGAATGTGCTTTCACTTGTGTTAATCCAAAAAGGCCCGATAATTTTATATTATTTCTAGGGTCTGCAAACTATGGCCGCGAACCAATCAATCCAGCACACCACTATTTATTTTGATGACACTGTAAAATTTACAATGCAAGTAAATCATACAAAATAACAATCAGATGCTTCTATATAATGACCAACAACAGTAATTGACATACATAATGAAATTGAAAATTTTAACTTTAATTAATGATATGAGATTTATTCTAAAAACTGACCATAAGTGATATTTAAGGTAATTCATATAATGTTGTTTCTTATCCCACTTGGCTGGCCAAGCCCACAAGCCCATATGGACTCATGATTGAAGGGGAAGGAAGCAGCTTCTGTTGTGATGGAGCACCCGTAGGTAGAAACCTGACTTTTGCTCCGTGACGCTCTTACAGTCATAGAGACCGGGACCTACGGTTTAAAGTGGATTCCGAACCACTACAAACATCCATGGCACCGCCGGGATTTAACCCGAAACCTGTGGCACCGAGCGCCAGAGCGCTAGACACTCGGCCATTCAGGTCCCAAATTTTGCCAACGGCACGCGGTGTTCCCAGGTGGTCACCCACCCAAGTACTGACCGCGCCCAATGATGCTTGACTTCGGTGATCTAACGAGAACCGGTATATTCAGCATGGTACGGCCATTGGCGGTAATTCATATAATGGAGTTAAACATTATAATTGAGATTAATGAGATTTGTGTAGCTGTAACTTTCCACTGACAACTGTTTGCAATGGTCGATCAAGTTTACTAGTAGAAATTATCAACAGCGACTTCAAATGCTCATCACTTAACTCGGATCTGTACATATTTTTGGTATATTTCATTTTGGAGAATGTTTGTTGACATAGATAATAAGTTCGAAAGTATGAAAAAAAAAAGCCTTTAGCAAATTTATGCAATTTATGAAATTGTATGAGTAGAAGACTCTTATAAAATTGTAGAAATCATGAGTTTAGATATTTTTCTTTAAAAATATCACTACACTGCATATCAGTAATTTTCATCTAAAGTTCTAGGGCAAGGGTTTTTATGCCGGCGTTAAAAAATTTTTGAAAAATTTTAATGTCGTTTGCAATTGCATGAAGAATATGAAAAATGCATTTAAAACTACAATTAAAAAAATAATAACTAAAGTTTCAATTTCAAAATCTACCAGAATTGGAGTCTCGCTGTTTGAATATTTGGCGTGTATTAAAATACGTGAAGAAATTTTTTGTTCTATTAAGATTGAAACAAAACAAGTTTTTGTCAAAATGACTTTATATCGTCATATCAATCAGGCAGAAGCTGCTTTTCTCCTTTGTAATTCTGGAGGCCTGATGGCCATAGTTGGCTAGCGCATTGGCGTTTGGTTTCACAAGTTTCAGGTTCAAATCCTGGCGGTGTCATGGATGTTTGTTAGTGGTTCGGAATCTTGGTTTGGAATCCACTTTAAACCATAGGTCCCGCTCTAATATGATCGTAGAGCGTTGTCCCCCATCAAGCGTCTATTCAATTTCACCCATATCATTCCCAAACTGTATAGAATCAACTCAACTGTAGGCAAAATGTGATGTGGTGTAGTGTAGTAGTAGTAGTGATGGTTCGGAATCCACGTTAAACTGTAGTTCCCAGTCTAATTAGCCTAAAGTGTGCACAAAATGATCGTAGAGCGACAAAACAAGTCAAACTTTGTAATTTAAAATTATGGTTATTCATAAGTTTAGTTAAATTTGTATAAAATGATAACTTATATAACCACTCAATGTTTTATAATCATGCAGAGGAAGTTCGCTTTCATTCAAGAAAATTTCGATTATTGTTCGGAAGTCAAAAAATCGTGGCAGAACTTTGCCGCAACTAAGCTGACATTTTTCGGCATAATATGGTAAATCATTTTCTCCAAACATTTTAATAAATACTTGGAATTGATGATGAATGCGTGCATGGGATCTGATATAATTAACAGCTTACAAGACCGGCTTTAAAACTTTCGATATATGCAAATATTTTCCGAACAGAGATTGTTGATATATGGGGCAAGGGATGATTGTTTTTGAACCATTTTCTAAGTCCTTTGATACGAGACCATCGACACATTCATTCTTTCAACACAAGTTTTTGCCACCATCAGTAGCGATATACTCGTACCTTATTTTTTTAACTTTAAAGAATGGGGGGAAGAAAATGATAAAAAAAAAATGTTAAAAAAAAATGTTAAAAAAAAAAAAAAAAAAAAAAAAAAAAAAAAGATTGTTTTTATGAACAGCTTTTTCAGCTGCTTTAAAAACATCTCCAGAGGTATTGCCGTGAATGGCTATGGATGTCAAGAGGCTCTTCATACACTTTATAATTTTAATTTATCCCTCGAATAAAAATAACACTTGAACAGTATCTAAAACATTAGTGGACTTATCCAGGACCAAAGAGAACCAATCAATAGGCGTCGATTTTTGTCAGACAATTCAGTTAATATGTTTTCTTTCAGTATCATCTACTCTTCGACCTACAGTGATTGCTGACAAGCAAAATGAATTATTCTTTTGTGGATAAAATTTTTCTACTGCTGTAATCATGCAATCCCTGATTGATCCGGTTGATCAGTTGCTTGCTTCTTGTCTCGTATTTACTTTTTTATACAGCGATTGCTGAGTTTTCGGCCTGTGTTTCAAAGATTTACATTTTTCTAACCGTAGACTATCTGTAAATGTGGAATAATTCTGAAAATGTTTAGTTCTTTTATGACGTTTCATAATCTTTGGGTTTTTTTTGGAGGACCGATATTGTTACATGGGAAATTATACACTGTCTTCTTAATTCACTCAATCACAAAATATTAATATCCCCATTGCTTTTTAAATGTTCCGAGTTCAGTACCTATCTTTTGTTTCTTTTCCATATTTATACAAATCCAGAAAAAAGGCACACAATTTCAAATCGAAATAATGTACTTGCCGTTTCGAACTCAATATCCGGAACTGTCCAATTCTCGGTTGTCTCAAATATTTACACCACGCGTTCTAGAGAATACTCGAATCTGCCAGACCGATCATGCTGTAGAACTATTTCAGAACATGGCGCTGTGTATTTCGACTAGCCAAGCATAGATGGCATTATTGCCCCGCCTGTTTCCAAAAGAATGTCCATATACTACTGTAGAGCAAAATGACATCTTTTCCTTATAAAGACTATTATAAATAATTTCTTTGGCTGGTCACATACTTTAATGAATAATTCCAATATTAAAGAATGACATCCGCATTTGAATGGATATTATTTTACTTCGATGGTATGTAGATATAATATTAACAACACTATCTGAATCACCTTTGTGACCCTTAATTAAAATAATTTATATTGTAAGAAAATATTCAACGAAAAGTTGTGAATCGGCTTTAAGATATATCACATTTAACCAAAATAATTCATATCTCTGATATTTAATACATAAAAAGATTTATGATTTAGAAATCTAGAAATATTGTATGCAAATGTTGGTTATGGAATACGTTATGCAAAATCTGTTGGCAATGGTAGAGTGCTATTTAAATTATTAGTAGGAGTATGCTGCACATGTACATTTTTGAACATTTTTCCAACCTGCGGAATTTATCACATTTTTACAAAAAAAAAAAAGTTTTATAATGGTCAAGTAGTGAAAACCACTGTATTAAAAAATTGCACTAGTAAAGTAAATATTTTTTAATGATTTCACTTTTTTTATTTCATTTATATTTATGTATTTTTTATATTTAATTTTTAGTGTTATATATTTTTTTACAATGTGCGTTTAGTAACATTATTATTGTATTATTTACGTTTACGTGTAAGAATAATAGTAAACACAATAATAATAACTCATTATGTTTCAATTTTTCACTTCAAAATATGTCTATAGTGGGTCTAAATCTAATATGGGGGAATATAATTTTATATGCGGACCTCGGAGTTGTGATGAATTTTAAAAGTGGCCTGCAAGATCATTTGGTTGACCACCCCTGATTTAGAAGATGGAGAAAAAGCTCATGTTTTTTGTCACAAACATGTAACTGTGGGTCGTAAACTATTTATGACGCCAATGATCTTCCGGGGTCTTAGACAGATTGAGTCTCAGAAAATGTTTCTCAATTGATATAAATCTTTAAAAAAGGCTCATCCAAACCAATTTCATATAACCAATGCACGTAGATTTGCAGAGAATAGTACTGGAATGGAAAAAGTACCTGCATTCAAAAACAGAACATTTCTGGAAGAAATGCCAGTTTGCTTATAACTATGTTGAGAAATACGTAATTAGCATTTGAAGATTAGAAAGATAATGATGAAAGGTTAACATGAGAATTTCATGGCCATGATATCGTCTTTCTGATCACTATCATGGTTAAGTTTTTTTAATACACATTTCAAGAGTATGGTGGTAGTATTCATGGTGTGATCATATTCTACCACAACTGGTTAGCTAGCATTTTTAAAAGGTAAATTGTCAGCTAAATAAAATTGTACATATTGGTAGATCAAGTGCATCCGATAATATTATATTTTTATTCTGACTAACAGAGATATTTCATAGATCATAATGCAATTTTGCATCAGGAGTACAATTTGGTAGAGGTTCATAAAACATAAAACCATAAAATCTTTCTTTCTTTGCCGACTCAGATCACAATCATATAAAAAATTTAGAATATACAGGAAAAACTCATCAAAGAAATTTTCTCTGTAATCCACTTTACAGGATTTTAATGCATGTGTATCTAATACAATGTGTTCTCCGAATTTAATAACACCCCAGAATCATGTAGGAATTAATACATAAATGCATACAACCTGTTATCAGCAAAATAATGTCTAACAAAATACTGCTTCCAGGTTTCTAGTTTATTGGTTAATATGTGCAAACTTAGAAAAGAGGAACACAATTTTCTTAAAAAAAATTATGCATTAACATTTAAATACGATTGTAAAATGATTGCAGAAGACTCATAACTGAAAAAAAAAAATCGAAAAGATTCTAATTTGTACAGACACGTTTTGTTGAAGATATATAACAGTAATAATAGAACACAAAATAAAGAAACGAATTTCCATTTATTATTGATTAAATGAGGCTTTAATCTTATGGGTTTACACAATTGGTAAAAACTAGGTACAAAAATATATATTTGTGGTTTATTTATTGTGTTGTGTTTATTTCAAAAACTACGTAGAGCTCTAAACACATTGTTTTTGTCGAATTGAACAGTCCGTTGATTGTTAGGAATTATTTCTGAACTTCTGACTTTGATTTCTTCCCAGCAAAATATGCCACTTCCTTGGAAGCCAGTGTTGCATCTGCAAAATCCTGGTTGCCCTTGATTGTTTTGAATGCAAGTTGCGTCTGCAGAACACTCGATATCGGAGGTACAGTTGGAAATAATTTTTGATAATTGGTCTTCAGCCTTGATTTTCACGTCTACTTTTTTTTCAAGATCTAATACAATTGTATCGTGACCTGCTTTAATTTCTGAATAATCTTCTTGAAAGGGTTCCTGCCTCATGAGTCTCTTAATTTTTGGATTGTTTAAAATTTGTCCATCGAATGATGATCCTAGTTGTTGGAAATTATTTGACTGATATTTATTATAGGCATCATTAGGAAGAAAGTTCTGTGTATTCCTAAAAT